TGGGGGGGGGGGGAGGAGAGGCTGGCCTGAAGCAGGGGGTCATGCTTCCCTCTCATTGAGGGAACAAGAGAAGAAGGAGGAGGGGGAGAAGGGAGGAGGAAGGGGAGGGAGAGGAAGAACAAGAAGGAAGAGGAGAAGGAGGGGGAGAGAGGAGGAGGAGGAGGAAGAGGAGGAGGAGGAGGAGGAGACAGGAGGAGACGACACACAGGGTGGAGAATGATTCAGTCACCTCACTCCGGAGTCCCTTACAGCATATGTAGATTATCAGGACTAGAAGTCCCACCTCTGTCCCCCCTCCCCCAGCCTCTCTTGACCCTGGGGTGTGCTCTGGAGCACTAAGTAGGACTGTCTGCAGGGCAGGGCAGAGGCAGGACACAGCACACTGTCAGTGGTGACTCCCTGCCCCTGCTGGCCCCTGCTGAGCGGGCTCTTTGGTCAACAGACAGCAACCCATCCAGGCCAGTGGAGGACCCGCGGGGAGGCCAGCCGGGACTGGCTGAAGTGGCTGTGCGTCTGCAGGAGCCCATTGTCCTTGGGCCCCGGACCCTGCAGGTGTCCTGGACTGTGAGTGTGGCAGAGGGATAATGACAGGGGACATAGGGGCCTGCAAGAATGGGTGGGGGAGGGTGGGAAGGGAGTGGCTGGGGGAGATGGGTGAATGGAAGAGGGGCTGGGCCTGGTACGCTCCCTCTTCTCCCCTGCAGGTAGATGGCCCAGTCCAGCTGGTGCAAGGTTTCCGGGTGTCTTGGAGGGTAGCAGGTCCTGATGGGGGAAGCTGGACAGTGCTGGACCTACAGTCCCCAAGCCAGCAGAGTACTGTGCTGAGAGGACTCCCCCCGGGGACCCGCATTCAGATCAAGGTGCAAGCCCAAGGCCAGGAGGGGCTGGGTGCTGACAGCCTCTTGGTGGCCAGGAGCACACCTGAGGAGGGTAAGGGGCAGCACGGAGCTGCTGGATGGACAAGAGGGAACTGAGTCCTTCTCACCACGTTCCACCCTGGCCAGCCCCCAGCGGTCCCCCCCAGGCAGTGGCAGTAGCCTTGGGGGGTGAAGGCAACAGCAGTATCACGGTGTCCTGGGAACCCCCGCTCCCCTCCCAGCAGAATGGGGTCATCAAGGAATACCAGGTACAGGGTGTGTGGGAGGGAGACGCTGGTGGGAGGGGGAGGAGGGCCCGGGCTAGGATTGGAAGGGGTCTAGGGCCAGCCTTGTGGCTGGGGGGATGGGGGTGGGGGAAGGAGGCTTTGGGGGAGGAGAGAGGGTTCCGTGCCCGCTCCAGGCTGAATTATGCCTGGCTGAGCGCCCTGTGCCATTCCGAGCGTCAAGTTTCCAGAATCCCATTCCTGACTCTAACCCGGGTCTCGGCCTCCCCAGATCTGGTGCCTGGGGAACGAGAGCCGCTTCCACCTCAACCG